CAACAGGGAGGATTCTATGATGGAATACCTGAAGATTGCGCAAGATCTAGAAATGTATGGAGTCAACTATTTTGAAATAAAAAATAAAAAGGGAATAGAGCAAGCTAATGGGAAACTTTGTCTCCAACTTAGCTTGGCTTAACTTTGCTCTGCATGATCACCTTATTGTCTATCTTATTTTAGTTATCACCACTCTCAAATGTAAGCTGAATTTACCATTTCATTTTTATTATTGTTTTTAATGTCAAGATCAAAATGACTGAGCTGGAAAATGAGGTCTCAGAAGCAGAATGGCAATATAAAAATATCAGGGCAGATTCTGAACCATTAACCATCATCCACAGTAAGATGAATGTCCAGGCAGACCCATCACACAAAGACAAAGGATGAATATTACTTACTGCAAAGCCCATTGTCACAATAATCAGGGCAGTCTCCACATGGTTTTCCTCTTTTATATGGGGTCTTGATGATTCTTCTGTTATTTCCCCTGGAAATGGAATATTTGAAGGAAAGAATTAGTGATACCACTAAGGAATTTGGCATTGTGTCCTGGGTGTAGAATATGTATAGCAAAAGTCACAGGAGCTCAAAAGAGGGAGAAAGAGAGATTACAGAGATTGCAGCAATTAAGCAAATTTTTAGATAAGTTAGTAGGATTCAAAGGTGTTCAGAAGAAAGGAGATGGTGTTCTACTGCTTTTACAGTAGGCAAAAGGCATGCATACAGACAGGTTGGTAGTGAGGGGCTGAAGAATTTTTAGGATGGGCACCTCACCATATACTTTTTACTTCTTAATTGGATGAATTTGCTTCAGTTGAGGATCTATTATTTACCATGCACTATGCAAGGCATGTAAGCATTTATAATATTTAATTCTTAGAAAATTCCTGTAAGAAAACTATTGCTACTGCCTCTTTATCGATAAGGAAAATGGAGCATCAAGTAGTTAAATTACTGGTGAATTGAAGGCCACACAGCTAATAAGTGACAGAGCCAATGGTTGTACTTGATCCCGATGACCATAGAGCCCAGGATCTCTATACCACATTACCTATATTCTACACTCTTCTCTTGATGTATCCTTGGTTTCATCATCTCATAGAATGCACTGTTTCTTGCTTCCTGCCTTTTCCAATTCTCCCCGTTCTTCAAACTCCATCCCAACAGCCATGCCTAAAGCTACCATATAACCACAAATAGATGTAAAAGATTGTATTACAACCCAAAGTGCAGGACAATTGGCCACTGTATGTTGAAAATGATTCACTGTACTATACTTACACAGGACAATATTGGCAAACATAGTAGTACCGAAAGGTTTTTTGGGGACAGTGGGCTAATGCACAGCCAAGCTGGTGGGAAGTGGCCCAAACAATCTGAAAGAGAAAAGTTTAAAATACAGTCACTTTAAATTAAATATATAGTATTTGCACTTTCCACCACTCATCTGTCAGTTTGTCATACTGTGGTGGCTTGTGTGTTGCTGTGAGGCTGGAGGCTATGCCATTGGTGTTTCAAATACCAGCAGGGTGACCCATGATGGACAGGTTTCAACAGAGCTTCCAGACTAAGACAGACTTGGAAGAAGGAAGAAGATATTAACTTCTGAAATAATTGGCCAGTGAAAATCTTATGAATAGCAGTAAAACACTGTCTGATATATTACTGGAAAACTTAATGAATAGCCCTGAAACATTGTCTGATATAGTGCCAGAAGACAAGCCCCTCAGGTCAGAAGGCACTAAAAATATGACAGGAGAAGAGCTGCCTCAGAGTAGAATTTACCTTAAAGACATATATGGAGTTAAGCTTTTGGGACATCTATTTGCTGATGTGGCATGACTCAAAATGGGAAGAAACAGCTTCAAACACCCATTAATAATTGGAATATGGAAAGTACGAAGTATGAATTTAGGAAAACTGGAAGTTGTTAAAAATGAAATGGAACCCATGAAGATCAATATCCTAGGTATTAGTGAGATGAAACTGACTGGTTTGGACAATTTTGAATCAGACAACCATATGATCTACTATCCTGGGAATAAGAAATTGAAGAGGATTGGCATGGCATTCATTGTCACAAAGAATGTTTCAAGATGTATCCTGAAGTACAATGCTGTCATTGATAGGATAATATCCATACACTTACAAGGAAGACCATTAATACTACTATTATTCAAATTTATGCACCAATCACCAAAGCCAAAGATGAAGATATTGAAGATTTTTACCAATATCTGCAGTCTGAAATTCATCAATCATGTAATTAAGGTGTGTGGATTATCACTGGTGATTGGAATTCAAAAGTTGGAAACAAAGAAGAATCACTGGTAGTTGGAAAATATGGCTTTGGTGATAGTAGATGATGGAGAGTGCATGATAGACTTCTGCAAGATGAATGATTTATTCATTGCAAATACCTTTTCCCAACAAGATAAACAATGGCTATCCAGGTGGACTTCACCAGATGGAGTACACAGGAATCAGATCGACTATATCTGTGGAAAGAGGCAATGGAGAAGCTCAATATCTCTGGCCAAAATAATGCCAGGAGCTCATCAACTGCTCATGTGCATGTTCAAGTTGAAGCTGACAACAATTAAAACAAGTCCACGAGAGCCAGAATATGACCTTGATTATATCCCTCCTGAATTTAGAGACCATCTGATTAATAGATTTCACGCACTGAACACCAATGACGAAAAACCAGAATTGTGGGATAATATCAAGAACATTATGCATGAAGAAAGCAAAAGATCATTAAAAAGACAGGAAAAGAAGAAAAGACCAAAATGTCAGAAGAGACTCTGAACTTGTTCTTGAATGGAGAGTAGCTAAAGCAAATAGAAGAAATGACAAGATAAAATAGCTGAACACATTTCAAAGAGCAGCTCTAGAAGACAAAGTCAATTATTATAATGAAATGTGCAAGACCTGTAGTTAGAAAACCAAAAGGGAAGAGCATGCTCAGCATTTGTCAAGCTGAAAGAACTGAAGAAAAATTCAAGCCTTTGAGTGTGGCATTGTGCCTAAAGTATTTGACCGCTAACCAGAAGGCTGGTGGTTCAAACCTACCAGCCACTCCTTGGAAGGAAGATTGGGAATAGAGATACTGCCTCGGAAACCCAAGGAGGAGTCACTATGAGTCAAATCAACTCAATAGCAATGAGATTTTTTTTTTTTTAATTGTGATTTGGGTGATTTACAGAGCAAATTCACTTTCCATACAGCAGTTCACATACACTTTGTCTCATGACATTGACCACAGTTTACCACA